TAACCAAGATAGTTACGTACTTTGGTAGAGGTCGAGGTAATATTTGTTTCTCTATACTTTATTTTGCAATAATCCTCTTTGCGAAAAATCGCGAATTTTTTATTAACATAATTATTTCTTTGATTGGTCATATCTCCTAATCATTTTGGTTTAAATAAAGCGAGAAACTCCATCTGTTAGCACATGTTATTAAATTTGTATATTTTTTTAAAGTTATTCAAATTTAAAATTATACATGTCGTCAAAAAGTTATTTCTTTTGCGTCAAAATTCAGTTTCAACAGGTTATAAGCCATCCACTTTTAATGATATTTGTCGACGTGACATCGAGACAAGTACGTACTTCCAACAGATTTCTACACCAAATATCTGTGAAAATGTGCATCTCCTGAAGCATCGTGAAAAAAAATCATTCACGTGTATCTGAATCTATTACTAAAGTCCCTGGGCTAAAGATCAAGTAACTATTCATCCGGTGGTTGTATATTATCGGGACGTTACTCTATGGCAACATAATAGCTTTGTAATTATTTCAGAATCTTCAATTCATGACACCGTAGCTGTACATTTATTTCTCAGAAAAATTATTAACATTTTGAAAGAAAAATATCACGTTAAAAAATGTTCCACTTCTCTGATGGTTCCAGTTCTCAATATAAAAATGAAAAAAAAATATTTCATTTATCTGGTCCATCACCAAGCGGACTTTGGTGTAGATGCTGAGTGGAATTTCTTTGCCACGTCGCACGGAAAATCATCTTGTGATGGGATTGGTGGTACGTACGTTCAAGAGAACTGCAGCTCGAGCAAGTATACAAAGACCTTATGATAATCAAATCACTACTCCACTTCAGTTATATGAATTTGCCAAAGAATCATTTAATTCCATACGAACCGTTTTTTGTACAAATGAAGAACATATACTTACGGTGACCATATTAACCAACGTAAAATAAAGGACATTTTTTTCAAAATAATTTGGGAATACATACGTACAGCTTGTATGATAAAAGTACTTTCCCATATCGTAATTTAACTCAAATATTTACCAGTACCATTTCGAAAAATGAAGCCAAATCCTTTTCAAGGACTTCGCCATCCTTTGCTGCCAAAACGCGCTTACCATAATTCATACTGCACGCCAAAGCCAGCACACAGAGGTACAAAATTGGAATTTAATATTCATAATTCTTCGGAGCCTTGATTTTTCAACCAATAACCAAAAAAATATATATATTTATTGGTGAACATTTTTTTTATAACATTTCAAACATTCTTTTTTTTGTGTAATTTTTTCGTTTTAAAAGAACCATACAATTGTTTTCAACTATTTTTTGTTATGTAACATTTATTAACTGAAACAGGAGAATACATTTTCTTCAAAATTGCGTAAAAAAATTCGTAAAAAAAGGTAATCAAATTAAGTGAAAAATGAAGGCTCCAGGAACCACTGTGCAACAGGGGGTTTATTGTTCACTTTCAGTGGAACTGAAAACTCAGCGTGCAACACGATCCTGGACACACCTTTCCCTGCGCTTAATAGATTGTACAAAGATTACTGATTAAATAGAAACCCTTAAGTTGGGTGCGAAACAAACTGGCGAAGGTTTTCTTTACATTTTATAAGGGACATTTTTATTTTTCATATTCTGTGTTTAAAAATTTACCTCTGAAAAATGTAGAGCTGATTTAAAGGACAGTTTAAAAAATAAAGGACAAAAGGCGTCCTTTATTTTAAAAAAAAATTATAAAGGACAGGGGGATAAAATAAAGGACTGTCCTTTAAAATAAAAGACGGATGGTTACCGTACATATACTGGAAGTGCAAGCTTTGAAAGTTCGATTTGAAAACTCCTCATCTATTGTTGGAACTCGCCGATTTCATTGTTTTATACCTATTTCTAGTACTCATAGCCTCAAATGTAAAATTCAATCCCTGCACGATGAATTTGAAATTAGAAAAATTGTAAAATAAATATAAAAATTTGTTAGATGGGGGCGGATCACTTGTTATTTCTTTAGTATAAGTGGTTACTAATCTTTTATTTTTTAAATCAGTATACATATTAAAGATTTACGTACGAAACAGTGAGTTTTTCTTTTTTGTACGACATTTCGCGAAACAATGTGAAATTTTCGAGAAGTTGTTTTTTTACCACAAATTTAATAATTTGTGCTAAAATGATGGAGTTTTCCGCTTCATTTAAACTAAAATGATTAAGTTATCTCTGCCCGTTCAGGAGATATGACCAATCAAAGAAATGGTTATGTTAATATAAAACAAATATTACCTCGACATCTACCAAAGTACTTCACGTATTTTGATCTAATTTTAATTAATTTAATTTTTTTTTTAATTTTTGTATCAGTCACTGCTTCACAAACAATTAATATCTCAGGCTCTATATCGAGACACCCTTTAAAAATTTGTCAATTAAATCTTTGATATACACATACATATATTTTTTGCAGATTTTAAAAACCCGCAAACATGTTTTTTTAGCAAAAGTTATGATGTGATAAACAGTGGCTTACGGCGGGACACCTAATATTTTGGCTGTTATATAACTTTTTAAAAAGTGTTTTTTGGCGTTTACAAATACTTTAGGACCTCCTCTGCAACATATCCGAAAATCGAGTAAAAGTAGTTTTTGACCAATTGAAATACTGTGGAATGCCGGGTTAAGAATTTTGCTTTCAGCTGCCATTTCTAAGTAATGTAATTTCTAAGTAATGAATCAGATTTAAGCTAGTTTTTGTGTCGCTTGTTGAATCGCAGAGGCCCAATAAAGACAAAATTGGTACCAAACTAACTTTATTTAGACTGGGGGCTCTTTCGGTGTTTAGCCAAGCCTTTTATTTTTGCCGGAGTCTTTGACTTTTTTATTTTTGAAAAATGGGATAACGGGTGTTTTGGGTCCCTGCCATTGACTGCCGAGGGGCGACCGCTGTTAGAAAAAATCGAATTTTAGATGCTGCCCGATCAGGTATCGATAGTGATAGAACTTTTTAGAAAAGTATCGATACTAGTACTAATTTAAAATACTCTAACGAAGAATCGATGCCAGTACATACTCATATTTGCAAAAAAGTATCGATAATACTTGAATTTCCAAGTATTTTTAACGCAAACGCGAAAATTAAACAAAAATCAGATGGGTTTGCTTTTATCACCTCTTCCTATTTATAAATTGAATTGAAACTGCTTTTAGTAGTTGAAATCTGATCTAACAAGGGTTTCAAGAGGAGTTTTTGAAATAAACTTGCAATAAGTTTAGTTTTACAAGCGTAAAATACATGTTTATATCAAAAAACGTGAAGTTTTTAAAAGAATTTAGAATGAAGGTAGAATAGATTGGATAACGTTATGCTGGAGAACGGCCAAGTTATTGAGTCGAAGACCACTCGTTTTCCAATTATTTAAGAATTTTTAACTGAGCCCAATTTTGAAATAACCGCTAGCTCTTCTTCTATGTTGTGTAAAAATGTCATAGCTTTACCAATTACCAGTAGCTCACGAGAACAAAATACGTATTAAATTTTACTATGAGTATGTCGACCCCTTTGCGCAAAATTAACGTATGTGCCAGAAACCAAATTTTACAGATCGCTTTTTCTACTTTTCAAAATTTTGATGTTTTTTTTTTGATTTTTTTTATTTTTATTTTTTATTTTATTTTTATTTTTTTTTTTACTTACGATGATTTCGCCCACAAGAAAAAAATGCATTGTAACATACGATAAAATATAGAGTACATTTTTGGCGTAAATGTAGGGATTGCATCTGCAATATTTTGCCAGGTGATGCGTTGTGGGGTGTAGAACAAATTTGAATCAAAAAGTCAATTTCGAAAAAATGGCATGTATGATAGTTTCGCGCAAAGGGGTCGATATGATAATTCAAATTTTTAAGCCCTTTTTCTCGAGGTTTTGCTTTTCTGAGTTATGACGGTATTGAAGTAAATGGGCGTTATTTTCATTTACATGACATTCATATTGGATATCGAAAATAATTTTCGAACGTTACCCTCAATGTTTATTGCGTAAATTTTAAGAATGTTTCAATGCAATTCAAATAACGAAATATTTTATGTAAATTTTTAAAATCCTTTTACTTAAAAAAGTATTTAGCACGTCGATACTTTTTTGTTTCGCGATACCTACTCAGTACTTGTCAAGAAGTATAGAGTTCTCGATACTACTCAGTACTCATGAAAGGTATCGATATTCTTTACTCAGTACTCTTATCGTTCTATCACCAGGTATCGACCCAAGGTCCTACGAAGTGGTAGTACGCACCTTTAACCACTCATCTACGGCGGACAGTATATTTCCGAATAACTCTAGAGTCTAGACTATGTGAACCGTTTTCGATATTTTTTTAATTGAAAATATAGCACCTCAAGGGTGGTCAAATACTAATTGGCATTGCATTATGAAGAAACTAACGGTACTTCTAAATTTTGTATTGCATTTTATTATTTTATTCTTCAGTCAGTTCGGAGTCGGTTGATTTCTTAATTACTTGTTATTTTTAAACTTCTTGATATACATACATCGTATTGTAATAATTTTTTATATTTTTTTCATTTCAGCTACCCAGCAAAATGCCACGTGTTTTTTGTGGTCATGAATATAAACTTGCAACAAAACTTAAATGCTGTTCACTCAAAACGCATAACGCAGCAATGGCTCATATCGAAACTCATCAAGAAACTAAAATAGAAAAACTAGCATAATCGCGTATGTTAAGTTGTTAGAAACTTCTGGTAGTTGCTTCGTAGTAGTGGTGCTCGAACTAACTAACAGGCTAACCTAATATTCACGCACGCCGCCAATTTACTGTCAAACATTTCTCATGCACATACAACTTGTATGGGACCAACCGAAATTGAACGGCGTGCGTATGAAGCTAACTCAATTTCCAATTTTTGTTCTGCGTGACATTTTGATTTGACGTTTCGCTCAATGAAATCAAATGCAAACGCACGCAAGCCAATTTCGGGTGACGCAAAAAAACAAATTCGACGGCGTGCGTACCAAAACGCAAGCCGCGAATATTAGGTTAGCCTGTTAACGAATGTTTGCTGTTGCTTCTGATAAGGCTACTCCCGAAAGTGTTTGTCTCTGTTCCTGAGTGATCTGGCATTTTTGAATTGTGGAGGAAAAAAAAACAAAAGAAGTGCAACATGCTGAGCTCCACGACATTTGTATCCACTGGACCTGTGGAGGTACCGAAAGCTCTCCGAGATGGAGAAAAGTTCATCAAATGGGATGATGTGAGTAATAAGTTTAAAGTTCTGTTCTACGCTTTAAAGAATTTTGCTATAACAGTCCTTAAATAAAAGATTTTTTTTTACAATCGCGGGTAGGTTTTATTGAAAGAATGCATTTTTTGTTAGTTCTTAACGTCTGCTGCAAAATTATTGACCTGCTGTTTAATCCAGGGTAGGTAGGTTTACACTAAGGGTGGTCTAGTTTGTATGGGCAAGTTTAAAAATGCATTTTTTGTTGAGCGCGAACCGGATATTTTTTCCTTTTTATTTGAAAGGCCTATAGTAAAAATATAATGTTAATCGGTTAGCGTTTGATAAAAGCTAAAATTGTTAAAAGTCGTCAAAACCATGATACAAAAATAGAAGGTAGTTTCATTTATTGACATTTGGTGTTGTTGCCGACCACTTGACTTTTAACAAGTTTATGACATTTAACTAAAATCATGCTACAAGATTCACTAGCAGTAAAATTTTTGTCTTGAAAAAGTAAACAAAATGTTTGAAGTTAGTGAAGTTGGATGAAAATATTAATAGTCTTTCACGTTCCCAAACTGCAAGAAATCGGTACACCTGTGCAAATGTTCGAAAATAAAACTGTTTGCTTTTCCGAGGATATAGTACGTGTATGTGTGAGATTTTCGCATAGATGAATTCCTGATGATTCGGGGGTTCATTTTATTCCCCAATAACCATTTCGATTATTTATAAGCACTATTAAAACGTGTATAGTTCATTATTAAAAACGTGTATATTTCTTCCTGCTGAACTCGAGCGTTACAATTATTATGAGCTACTGACTGGACTAAAATGTACGAACATAACCAAAGGCTTTTTTCTCAGCTCTCTTTAACAGAATATATGGGCAATGTATTAGTACGTATATGTGCATGTGTGTACATAAGTATATGTTTAAATAAATAAAAATGTGCAGCGGTAAAACATAGATGCAGTGTTTCCCAAGTTTATCCATGCCGCCCCTAATGCTAGACTAGCATGACTGTGCCTTCTTTGTGGATAGGTAAACAGCTCTTCTGAAACAAAAGGTTAGTGAATGCAATCAGTGTGGTTGTCTGGTGAAAGGATTTCTTCGGTGCAAGAAGTTATTGGTAACCGGCAAAGTTTTGAAATAGAGCGTTTGCTTATACCGATCTTTGTACGTAAAGTAACTACCCGAACTAGCTTGTCATTTCCAGGATGTAGTTCTATGATTCTTCCTAACATCCATTGCTGTGGCGGTAAGCGATCGTCCTTTATCAAAACCAGTTCGTTGATTTTCATGTTGGCTTTTTGTTGGCGCCACTTAGGCCGAGATTGGAGATGAGACAACCAGTCAGACGACCACTTTTTCCAAAATTGCTGTATCATACGCTGGCGTGCCAGATAATGAGCACCGATTCCTGGAGTGTTCACAGCTGAATCAGGCGGTGCCAGTAATGCGTCACCAGTCAGAAAGTATGCAGGTGTTAACACGAATAAGTCATCTGAATCGGCGGTCAGTGTGCAAAGGGGCCTCGAGTTGAGGCAAGCTTCAGTTCGCACATGTACCGTGGAAAGAGCTCTTCGTATGTCGATCTTGTACTGTCGACTGCTCGCTTCAAATAGTATTTTACCGACTTGACATTTGCCTCCCAGATGTTTAACTGCTTCTGTGAATCTTAATTGATCCTGCCGCAGCGCCTTTTGTGCACCAACGAAATTGGTTCCACAGTCGCTGTAGATGTCGTGGCAAATACCACGCCTTCCTATGAAGCGCTGAAATGCGGCCATGAAGCATTCAGTTGACAGGCCAGTGACAGCCTCCAAATATACGGCTTTGGTTGCTAGGCAAATGAAGACCGCGATATAGCCTTTGTAGACGGTATTCCCTCGATATCGCGATGCCTTCAGCTCAGTCGCACCGGTGTAGTTCACTCCAGTGGCATAGAAAGGTTTACTAGGTGGGTTTATGCGTTGTAAGGGCAGGTTTCCGATTAGCTGACTTGCAACAACCGGCTTGCTTTTAAAACATATAATACACTTTCTAACATACTGCTGCACCACCTTCCTGGTGTGTATTATCCAGAACCGCTGGCGAATATACGCTGTTGTCAACTGGACACCGCCATGCAAAGCAATTCGATGAGCCTTTTCCACCACTACACGAGTGAAATGACGAGTTTGCGATAAAATAATTGCCTTTTATCATATGATAAATTTGCTTCTTGTAAGCAACCTTCTACTCGTAATATGTTCTCCTCGTCGAGAAATGGCGTTAAACTGTAAATTTTGCTTCTGTTTGGAAGAGAATTGTTAAATTTTAATGAATATCTTCCGGAAATTCCTCAGCTTGTACGCATCGCACAAGATGTTTAGGACTGTTCTGAAGTTCCTCTTTAGATAAAGAGTCTGCCTTCCTGGAGTAGCGATGATCTAATCGAGCATTGTAAACAAAACGTAAAACATATGCGTTGACACGAATTAAATGGTTAAGCGACGAAAAACGTCCGATTGTTGAATTTATTTGAACAACTGCGTACGTCCGAATAAGCGTTGGCTTAGCTTCGGAGGCTGCGGCGTTGGTGTCTTCCAAGTTAAGAATGTAATTTGGCCATGACGATTCGGTTTTGCGTAGCCATGTTGGTCCATTCCACTAAATATTCAAATTGCCAAGTTCGGCAACGGTCTTGCCACGTGTCGCATAATCTGCCGGATGTTCGAGGGTATTGCATCTGTCCATATGAACGGTTTCCATTGGTAAGCGAAGGTTTTGCTTTACCTAAGTGGCTAGTGTTGCTGCTAACATAGCACCGCATAGTTCCACTCTCGGAATTGTGAGAGGTTTTACTGGAGTTACCTTGCTTTTTGCGGCTAATAAATGGGTGTGAGTTGCACCATCTGCATACTGCAGCATGCATGTAAGTACAAGCTGCGTAAGCTGAAGATGAGCCATCACAAATGGTATGAAATTCGACAGAGGAAATATCTTCAGGAGCGAAGTTGATGTATCTTGGAATCGTTATTCGGTGAATAGTAACTAAATTTTGCACAATTTTCTGCCAACGGTCACTCAGAGCGGCTGGAAGTGTCTCATCCCACTGCAAGCCCGTTGTGTAGCCGTTCGAGCGATCTACTTTTGTTGTCCACACCAGCTTCAATATCATTTTCGCTGATATTATTACCGGAGTGATGAATCCAAGCGGATCAAATAGTCGAGCAATAGTGGAATGGATAGAACGTTTCGTTGGATTAGAGTCAATATCCGATTTCATTTTAAAATGGAAAGTATCTGTTGTCGGGGTCCAAAACAGACCAAGTGTCTTAATGGCTTCATTGACATTGAGTTGAAGTGGCCCTTGATTGGATCGATGCTCTGAGGGTATGGACTACAGGAGGGCATCATGGTTGCTTGCCCACTTTTGGAGCTCCATACCAGCTGATAGAAGAGCACCTTTGAGATGTTCACGAATTGTCAACGCCTCTTGTAATGAGTGACTACCTGTTTGTACATCGTCCACGTACATTTCGTGCCATAATACCCCTTCTGCTAATGGAAATCGTTGTCTTTCATCCACGACAATTTGATGCAGAACCCGGATGGCGGTAAATGGCGCAGACGCAGTGCTGACTGTTGTCAAACAAAATTCTTGAACGTGACCATTGTCACGTCTCCATAGAATTCGCTGGTATTGAGCATCATCAGGGTGCATACGAATGCAGCGATACATTTTCTGAATGTCTGCTGTAAACGCATATTTGTGGGTTCTCCAATTTAGTATGACAGCTGATAAGTCATTAATTAATGGCGGTCCCACACAAAGTAAATCGTTTAGCGATTTTCCGTTTGATGTCCTCGAAGAGCCGTCGTAAACAACGCGCAACTTCGTGGAGGAATTTTCCGCTTTTATGACTGCGTGGTGTGGTAGGACGCAAGACGTGAAGGTCGGTTTGCCTGTGGATGAGATGACTTGATACTGGTCTTCGGTGGAAAGTGCTGGGGTTATTTGCTGAAGGTTGAAGTAATCCTCAATGGTGCTGGAATAACCGTGGCGAAATTCCGAATTAGCAGTTAGACGACTGTAACGAAGCGTTTTTCTGTGAAGGCCCCGACGCTTCTGTTTTCTATGCTGAGGTATACTCGCCGCGCCCAGGGTCCGTTACAATAAATTTATATTGTGGAGCCTTTGCAAATAGTACTTTATTTAATTACTAAAAAACGTGTTACTACTTAATTCCTATGAACATAATACGATTAACGGTGTATGAATTCCTAACGGTGAATTCCCAGCGCGCTGCTGCAGGGTGACGTCGACGCTACTCTGTCGGCGTTCTGCTGCTGTGCGACGTCGGCGCTCTTGTGTCGGCGTTCTACTTCTGCGTCACCGTTGTGCGTGCTTGCGCACGCTATTGCTTGCGACGCTATTCTGTCGGCGCTCTGCTGATGGATGGCGTCGATGCCACTATGCTGGCGCTCTGCTGCTGTGCGACGTCGGCGCTACTATGTCGGGGCTATGCTGCTGTGTGACGTTGGTGCGACTATGGTGGCGCGCTACTGCTGTGCGACTTCGGCGCTACTATGTCGGCGCTCTGCTTCTGTACGACGTTGGTGCGACGATGGTGGCGCGCTGCTGCTGTGCGACATCGGTGCGACGATGGTGGCACGCTGCTGCTGTGCGACGTCGGTGCGACGATGGTGGCGCGCTGCTGCTGTGCGACGTCGGCGCTACTATGGCGGCGCTCTGCTGCTGTACGACGTTGGTGCGACGATGGTGGCGCGCTGCTGCGTTGCGAGCGGGCGTCGCCGTTACGCGTGTTCGCGGTGGACTGTGGCGTGGCGGCGTTCTACCTTTGAACAGCCAAGCCCTGTATAGTCGCCTATGTACAAGTCATGCGCTATTCATTAGTAGCTGTGCGTTCACGACCACGGCTCCGCTAACGACGCTTAGATTCTGGGCGACTTCGGTGTGCTCCTCTGGGCGACGTCGGCGACTCACTTGTGTGTTGCGAAGTCACATCTCTTATAGCTG